ATATATATATATATATATATATATATATATATATATATATATATATAGATAGATAGATAGATAGATAGATAGATAGATATAAATAATCCTAGTGAGCCAGAAACTTAGTGAGCACTACTTAGCGTATTGAGCAGTTTACGTTTTTCTCTTATATTACTCGACGTTTTTTTTTGTTTTTTTTTCCTTTACGGCACTGGGCGATTTTTGTTGGCCTACTCGGATGTTTTTAGTTTTTTCTTTTTTACCAAATTTTTCCCCCAGATAACAGTTTGTTTTAATTTTTATTTGCAAATTGTACTATCCTGTTTTTTACACCAGCGAAGTATAGACATTATATATATATATATATATATATATATATATATATATATATATACATAGATATATATATATATATATATATATAGCATAATGAGAAGCCACGTATACTTTCTTAATATGTATATATAGAAAAAGTTTCAAATTAAAAATTATAATGTTTTATTTTATGAAAGTATTTATTTATTTATATATATATTTGATATTTCAAATTGTCCTCAATTTTTCATCAGAAATAACTGTTTGTTACAAATAAATTAAAATTACTGTTTGTTGGCAAGTAGCGTCCTTCGCGAGACGCGGACGTCACGTGATATGGAACGTCACTGTTCAGATATTCCTAACTTAAATCTAACTGTCATAAATATTTTAAAAAATATATTTTTTTACTATATCTAAAGAAATTGCTTAGCTATTGAAATATTTATAAAGATTTAAAACACCTAAGTCCCTATTCAACCCTAATTTATGTGTATTTAATTTTAAAATCCAATATGTTTCTTTTTTTTCTGCGTGTGAATGTGGAAGTAAAATCGGAATCTATTAATAAACATTTGCAGTTTTCTAATGTGTGTCCTGATTGATTGTAGTGTTTAGCTATGGGGAATAAGGGTTGTTTTGACGTATTGTTTGTTTATGGTTATTAAAACGAAATCTAAAATTGTTTCCAGTCTCACCAATATATCCACTATTAGGACATAAGTTGCAGAATAAATAATAGATTACGTTATGGGTATCGCAGGTGAGGTTAGGTGGCTGTATCCTGATATTGGTGTTGGGTACGTAAAATGTATTAGCTATTACTAAATGTTTGCAAACTAAGCAACGAGGTTTGTTACATTTGTAATTTCCTGTTTGGTTTCTATTGTTTAGATATTTGGTAGAGGTGAGGATAGCTGATAAGTTAGGTGATTGTTTCATTGCATTTATGGGTGGTTTATCGAAAATGTCTTTGATCTTGTTGTCTAATTGGAGGTTATTTTTTAAAATATTTATGACAGTTAGATTTAAGTTAGGAATATCTGAACAGTGACGTTCCATATCACGTGACGTCCGCGTCTCGCGAAGGACGCTACTTGCCAACAAACAGTAATTTTAATTTATTTGTAACAAACAGTTATTTCTGATGAAAAATTGAGGACAATTTGAAATATCAAAATATATATAAATAAATAAATACTTTCATAAAATAAAACATTATAATTTTTCATTTGAAACTTTTTTCTATATATATATATATATATATATATATATATATATATATATATATATATATATATGAGAAAGATAAAAGAACATGTAGGGAAACGTATATTAATCTAACATGTTACACTCTTATTAAAGCTTCGTTAGAGATTAAGAGAAAACAGTATAAAAGACAAAACTTTAGTATTTTCAATTTTGTTTAGTTTGATTTCCATTGGTCAGTCATGTATCATGTGCATTAAAACCGTAGATATTTCTGTATGTATGTAATTTTGTAAAGCATAGATGTAATATTAGAATTACGTTGAAACACTGGGTTTTATTCGATCACTGAAGTAAATCAACTTTGAGCCTAGTCAGAACCTAAATGTGTGATGGTTTGGGGAGACAAAGGCTATCGTACAATCACCGAAGTTAAGCAACGTTGAGCCTGGTCAGTACCTAGATAGGGGACCGCTTGGGAATAAAAATGCTGTAAGATTGGGTGTGCGGATGATATAGCTTACGGCCACATCACGTTGAAACATCGCTTCTTATCTGATCACCCAAGTTAAGCAACATCAATCCTGGCCACGGCCTAGATGGTTGACCTCTTGGAAATACCACTTGCTGTTAGTTGGGTTCGTTATATTTATTAAGGTGCAAATGCCCTTGTGTATCAATCTTCTTCTTTCCACTTATGGATTAGTTAGTAGGAGTTAAAAATATTGATTTTCTAAGCGTAGCTTAGATATGGCACAATAGTGAGTATCGAACTCACTACTCAGTCGTAATTGTTCTAGTGAGACAAGTTTGTTAACCATTAGATATGGCACCCAGTGAGTATCGAACTCACTACTCAGTCGTAATTGTTCTAGCGAGACAAGTTTGTTAACCATTAGATATGGCACCCAGTGAGTATCGAACTCACTACTCAGTCGTAATTGTTCTAGCGAGACAAGTTTGTTAACCATTACACCGCCTCGAGGTGCCCTAGCAGGAGTTAAATATAAGTATCAGTATCATCCCCCAAAAGTGCATTATCGCCAAAACTCTTCTTATAATCTAATATATTTTCTGACTTTTAAATAATCTGCAAAGGGTAGATAAACCGTAAAAAGCAAATAAATCAATCTTTCTCTTATTTAAAATTGTATTTTGATAATTTCTGATTATCAATATGCTCACAGATTGTATTTTCGATATGTAACAAGTTAACGCATGGGAAAGAGTGGTGCTTGTGTGACCAATGTAAGAAATTACGATTGATTTTTGTATTATTCGTAATAAAGATAGTCATACAAAAAAAAGCTATAAAATATTATATTAGCAAAGAATGCATATTTCAAATTTCTCAGACAATTTTATCGGCCACTCTAACTGCTAACTTATCAAACGACGAAAGGAAGCTAGATTTCAAACCTTATTTGGGTAATTCAGACGTTTTATCTCGAAGCTCCAATGTCTTTCTTTAAAAAAAAAACAAAAACAAAAAAAAAAACAATATCAACTTTGGTGAGTAGTTCATTCAGTAAAGGAGATGTTTTTATTCAGGCCAACACAAAATACTGACTGCAAAACTATTATGTGTGGCTCACGAGAGGTTTTCAAAATGGTATCTCGGTAGTGTTTTAACAGAGGACAGAAACTAAGCATTGGGATATCGAAATTTGCCTTCTAAACAAAGTATTTTGAAACAGGAAAATTTCGTTAGAAAAAAAGAAAAGAGTACCAAACTGATACCTAATATCAATCTTCCTAAATGACAATGCATACTGGACAATCTCCACACAGATGAATTAACAAAAATATAGTTCTATAGAAGGATACTGTGGCCGAGTGGATAGAATGTTCGCATTCTGACCATGAGACCCATGTTCGAATCTCACCATGGTCGATTTGTCAGTAAGGAGACTTCCTGATGTTATCGGTCTGGGGACGATCCCATCGTGCGGCATCTTTGGAAAGTGTCTGAAAACCATACCACGGGTTGACCTATGCCTTGTGAGTGAAATTGGGTAGACGGAAACTTGGGACCGTCGATAGCTGTGCTAGCACGAAGTCACGTCATTGAGGGGCTTGAACGTGTTGGCCTTGTTCAAATTGTTGATCACGCTAGATAACGCGCTCTTTCCCAGGAACTGTAACTAAGGTCTGCTGCAGTATAAACCACAGGTGGGATCTTCGGGTGTTGAATAAACACAAATGCGACTGAGCAAGTGTCTGCCACAGGGATTGGCTAGCCGCCCTAGTAGACAGGTATTCTCGAATACGAGTGGCCAGCTATACTGAGAATACCAAGGCCTGAATATGTTAGCAACGACGAAGTTATAGAAACAAATGCAAATGAAAAGGGCACTTATACTTATCAACAAAAGGAAACAGTTGAAACTACTAGGGTACGTAATGAGGAAAGAGGGCTTGGGAAAATTGATGCTCAAAAGACAGATTGAAGACAAGAAGGACAGAGGAAGACAGCATATAACCGACCTAGGGAGATTGAGTGAATTGATGGTAGAACATTGTTTAGGAGTGATAAAAAAGACAAAATTTATTAAGTGCTACAAAGGACATAGAATTGATTGGAGCTATGATCGCCAATACCATGAATGGACAGAAGAAGAAGAAGAAGAAGAAGAAGAAGAAGATTTTTGTGTTCGTCAGAATAAATTCGGCGACTGAATGTACACAAAAATTCAGTTTTGTGGAAGTATGACTTTATTCATTTAATAGAGAGTGCACGGCGGAAATACCACTTGTGCCAAGCAGCCATAGGCCAGTCGCCAGCCTGGGCGTAGGAGCCAGCGCTTCAGAGCTGATGAGAGACGGGGTAACCACAACAGCCTCGGTGCAAAAGAAACCGGTAAGCCATTGAACTCTTTTGCCTTGAATGTCACCATAAACCATGGGTAGTGGTGACCACAGCGGCGCATAATGCGCTGAATAAAAAATGATGAATCTGTAATTGCGACACAGACATCTTTTCGTAATTATTATATGTTACTTCAGAATAAAACAGTTCCGGATAGAAAATCGATATTGCTATGGGTTGAAGGGCCACAAGTTCAGCGCTTAAAAAAGTCACCTGTAAGAACGCGAAAGCTTCGAACTTTCGGGTGATGGAAAACTGTAGGAACCATTTACAACAGTGTATGGCGAATAGATGCAACCATTTAGAGGACGTCAATTTTAAAGGAAAAAAATTGTATCTTTTTGCTTAAATAACAATGGAATTATTTTTTTAATAGCAGTTACTTTGGTCTTTTTGTCAACATTTAAAATGTGGGAGGTATTTCTGCCGCGCCCTGTATTTCACTGTATTAACTTAATCCTTTTAATTCTCTCTAGAAGCAGAAAAAGAATTTTCTCGGCATCCCTCTTTCTATATATACATATATATTTCTATCTCCCACTCTCTCTATATCTGTTTCTATCCGCCCCTCTCTCTATATTTTGCTCATTCTACATATCTGTTTCTATCCACACTCTCTCTATATATGTTTCTATCTCTCTATATATATATTCGTTTCCCTCTCTCCAGGTCTCTATATTTGTTTCTATCTCCCTCTCTCAATATATATCAGTTAATATGTCCTTCTCTCTCTATATCTTTTTCCATCTCCCTCTTTCTTTGTATCTGTTTCTATCTCCCTTTCTCTATAGTGATTTTCCAAGCGTAGCTTAGATATGGCACAAGGCCGAAAGTATGGGGCACCCAGTGAGAAACGAACTCGCTACTCAGTTGTAATTGTTCTAGCGAGACAAGCTTGCTCATCATTACACCGCCTCGAGGTACCCCCTCCCTCTCTATATATATCTATATCTCCCTCTCACTATATGTCTATTTCTCTTTCTCTTTCTCTCTATGTCTGTTTCTATCTCCCTCACTCTTTATATCTGCTTCTATCTCCCTCTCTCTATATGTCTATTTCTATTTCATTCTCTCTATATGTCTGTTTCTATCTCCCTCACTCTTTATATCTGCTTCTATCTCCCTCTCACTATATGTCTATTTCTATTTCCTTCTCTCTATATGTCTGTTTCTATCTCCCTCTCTCTTTATATCTGCTTCTATCTCCCTCTCACTATATGTCTATTTCTATTTCCTTCTCTCTATATGTCTGTTTCTATCTCCCTCACTCTTTATATCTGCTTCTATCTCCCTCTCACTATATGTCTATTTCTATTTCTCTTTCTCTCTATGTCTGTTTCTATCTCCCTCTCTCTTTATATCTGCTTCTATCTCCCTCTCACTATATGTCTATTTCTATTTCCTTCTCTCTCTATGTCTGTTTCTATCTCCCTCTCTCTTTATATCTGCTTCTATCTCCCTCTCACTATATGTCTATTTCTATTTCCTTCTCTCTATATGTGTTTTTATCTCCCCCTCTCTTTATATCTGCTTCTATCTCCCTCTCACTATATGTCTATTTCTAGTTCCTTCTCTCTATATGTCTGTTTCTATCTCCTCTCTTTATATCTGCTTCTATCTCCCTCTCACTATATGTCTATTTCTAGTTCCTTCTCTCTCTATATGTCTGTTTCTATCTCCCTCTCTCTTTATATCTGCTTCTATCTCCCTCTCACTATATGTCTATTTCTATTTATTTCTCTCTATATGTCTGTTTCTATCTCCCCTCTCTCTTTATATCTGCTTCTATCTCCTCTCACTATATGTCTATTTCTATTTCCTTCTCTCTATATGTCTGTTTCTATCTCCCTCTCTTTTTATATCTGCTTCTATCTCCTCTTACTATATGTCTATTTCTATTTTTCTTTTCTCTCTATGTCTGTTTCTATCTCCCTCTCTTTATATCTGCTTCTATCTCCCTCTCACTATATGTCTATTTCTAGTTCCTTCTCTCTATATGTCTGTTTCTATCTCCCTCTCTCTTTATATCTGATTCTATCTCCCTCTCACTATATGTCTATTTCTAGTTCCTTCTCTCTGTATGTCTGTTTCTATCTCCATCTCTCTTTATATCTGCTTCTATCTCCCTCTCACTATATGTCTATTTCTATTTCTCTTTCTCTATATGTCTGTTTCTATCTCCCTCTCTCTTTATATCTGCTTCTATCTCCCTCTCACTATATGTCTATTTCTATTTCTCTTTCTCTATATGTCTGTTTCTATCTCCTCTCTCTTTATATCTGCTTCTATCTCCCCCCCTCTCACTATATGTCTATTTCTATTTCTCTTTCTCTATATGTCTGTTTCTATCTCCCTCTCTCTTTATATCTGCTTCTATCTCCCTCTCACTATATGTCTATTTCTATTTCCTTCTCTCTATATGTCTGTTTCTATCTCCCTCTCTCTTTATATCTGCTTCTATCTCCCTCTCACTATATGTCTATTTATCTCTCTATGTCTGTTTCTATCTCCCTCTCTCTTTATATCTGCTTCTATCTCCCTCTCACTATATGTCTATTTCTATTTCCTTCTCTCTCTATGTCTGTTTCTATCTGCCTCTCTCTTTATATCTGCTTCTATCTCCCTCTCACTATATGTCTATTTCTCTTTCTCTTTCTCTCTATGTCTGTTTCTATCTCCCTCTCTCTTTATATCTGCTTCTATCTCCCTCTCACTATATGTCTATTTCTATTTCTCTTTCTCTCTATATGTCTGTTTCTATCTCCCTCACTCTTTATATCTGCTTCTATCTCCCTCTCACTATATGTCTATTTCTCTTTCTCTTTCTCTCTATATGTCTGTTTCTATCTCCCTCACTCTTTATATCTGCTTCTATCTCCCTCTCACTATATGTCTATTTCTATTTCCTTCTCTCTATATGTCTGTTTCTATCTCCCTCACTCTTTAAATCTGTTTTTATCTCCCTCTCTCTATATGTCTGTTTCTATCTCCGTTTCTCACTATATCTATTTCTATCGTCCTATCTCTCTCTATATGCTTCTATCTCCTTTTCTCTTTATATCCATTTCTATCTTCCTCATACCCAGTTATTTACTGTAGACATTTACCCTTGCAGGCCGTAGCTAAATTCTTCGAACAATGTTGCTTTTTGTGTTTTTCGATTGTGTTAGTCATAATTTAATCGAGCTAAAGTCAAGAGGTCAAGATGTTGCGGTTTCAAGACAAAATGGAGATTCACTAAAATTAAGGAAATCTTCCTCTGTCTTGTAACAATGCAGAAAAGAAAACATCCTTTTCCTGGATTTGAAGTTATTCAGGTGTTAACAGGTGTGAAATGTGGTTCAAGCACATAAATGACCTCTTTAAGCCATTTATTTTTTGAGCGTCATTTTTATCATAAATTTACCTTCCTGTTTTTAGACGTATTTACTCGGCTTAGTTTTCGTCTGACATAAGACTACAGAAGAGGAGTTCACACTGAGGACTGAATTTACTGCTAGATTACCTGACAGAGAGAAATACAGTGCATGCTGACTTCTATATACATTCTATCTCTCGGTCTCCGTCTGTCTGTTCGTCATTGTTTTTATGTATTAGGTTGGTGCATAATTATCAGGCGTTTTTTAAACACTATTTATTATGAAAAAAGAAACATAACAATTCAACAATAACATTTTTAAATGATCATTCCGGAGCGTATGATTATCGACACGCATTTTTATAACCTGAAAATAAAATAATATTTGTTATTTAAAAAAAAAGTAAACAAAACAGCAATTTTTATTAACAAATAACGGCTACAAAAACGCTTGATAATTATGCACCAACCCAATAAAATTGTTCAGCCGAAAGAAACTCGAGAGCCACTCAAGGTAGAGTGTTACTGAATGAGGTTATTGTAAGAAGGGAGTAAGAGGTGTGTATCTGTTGAGTAGGATGATAGGTAACGGTTTATCTTTGACATTAAGAGATTAAGACCATAATAATCGGGGATGCATATTTTCGGAAGTTTGATCCACAAAGTAATAACAGTTCTGATGAAGAAGATGTCTGAGTGGAACTTTATCCTTGCCAAGGGAATGTGGGTGAGTCGACCTTATGTATGTCGTTGAGTGGCTGGGCTGTTTTAGCTGTGATGGTCTGGGCTACTGGAACTAAGGAAAGTAGTTCTTCTGAACGTCTCCCATGAAAACTGGAACGAGTGACAACGAGAGGATATAATTCATCACCCACAAAGCCGAGTAATACTGGAAAGTGACGATTGGGCAACTCCAGCCTAGATAAGGCAGAAATACTCCATTTTTGATCCGATTTGACTATACAGACCATGGCTGTAAGAGGCAAGTACTTTCTAAAGAATTAAAAAGAACCGACTATATTACCAGCATCATTAGCGATGGATGGTATATATATAGTTCTCTCTCTCTCTCTCCTCCTATTTCATTCTCTCTCTCTCTCTCTATATATATATATATATATATATAGGTAAAAATCCGTGGGTAAGTAATCCGAGTCACTCATAATAATATAAAATATTAAAACTGATTCACAAAGAGAGCTCAAGGTATTTATTACAGAGCATATATAAATGAAATTTAATACCTCATGTGGGGGTGTTGAATTTTACACACACACACACACACATATATATATAGTGTAATCCGGATATAAGGCACCCGGATATAAGAGAGATTTTCTCTGGTCCCAAATTAGAGCCATATTTACCTAAACAAAATAGACCAAATCCGGATATAAGAGAAACCCGGATATAAGAGACTTCTTCTCCGGTCCGACAACTCTCTTATATCCGGGTTACACTGTATATATATATATATATGTATATATATATATATATATATATTGTCATCCACATACAGATTGTTTCGCTGTATCACAGCTCATCATATGGCTAAACATACGATCGAAACCCGACTGATTCGTAACTAAGCTATCGGTAGAGAGGAAGGGGAATTTTGGCGTAGTCATTCTTTGAATGAACACACCAGAAGATTCAATCAGTTACTAGAAGCACTTTGTATTATCAGCGGTAGTCACTGTTTACAAATTCACGCTTTCTCTCCAGAGTGCTCGACCGAAATTAATGTTTCGGTGGCGTATATGTTGTGCGTATATATTGTCATCCACAGACAGACTTTTTCCCTGTATCACAGCTCAGCTCAGTATGGCTAGACATCCGATTGTCTCAAGTCGGAATCGAAACCCGACTGATTCGGCAACAATGGGAGATTTTACCCCTAAGCCATCGGCGAATAGAGAGGAAGGTATTCATTCTTTGGATATATATATATATATATATATATATATATATATATATATATATATATATATATATATATATATATATATATATATATATATATATATATATATATATATATATATATATATACAAAGAACGCATCTCTCTATATATATATATAGTCGGCTTGATGCGCCGTAAGAACGCGACTTTCACGCTATTCTCTACGTTCACAAGAGCCAGATCAGGTCAAAAATGGAGAGCTGATGTTATATTTTGGCGGGAGCTGCCCAGTCCTCACTTTCCAGTCTTGATAGAGTTCAAAAGTGTCTCCGAGTGCTTGCTGAGGGAAGAATAATTTTCCCACCCTCCAATCTCACTCTCACAGGCGGGGCATGTTTCATTGCCCTATTGCTGCTTCTAGGGAGTTTTTCTGGTCCGACTTTTGGATGTTTTTTAAAACTTTTTTTTTTTTTTTTTAGCTCATTGAACATTATTACGAAGAGGTCAAGTTTTAAAGCTACGAATAGGAAAAGAAAAAAGCTATTTTTGACGTCTACTTCCCTTTTTTACTAGTTTGGCCGAATCTCGACAATACTTCCCCATTACGCACACACACACACACACACACACACACACACACACACACACACACACACACACACACACACACGTTATTAGTTTTTTCACCCGGGTCGATTTTTTTCAGTTCGACTTCGTAAGCATTTTGTTTTTATTTAACATTATAATGAACAGAAAAATAAATTGAAAGCTAATTCGTCCATTCTTTGAATATTGCCGTCACATATGGTTCGATGCCTTTGCGATATAGCTAGAGATTCTTGATAAAATCCAAAGAAGAATCAGCAATATTATTGGTCTTGACCTGGCATTTCGGCTTTAGACATTTCCCACCGCCGTAATATAGCTTCCCAGTGTTTTTTTTTAAATAATTACTTTCATGGTAATTGTTCGGATGAGCGCTTCATTATGGTAATGAGACTTTATGAATTTAAGCGCAGTACTAGATTGACAACAAGGTCTCATCAATTTACAGTTTAATTTGCTAAATGGAACTGTAAGTTCTATGCTAACAGTTTCTGTTCTCGCACTTCTCGCTTGTGCAAATTTCTTCCGGCTCCATACTTTCTAGTCAACTTTGATTTAAAAAAATTAAATGCAATATCAATCGTTATCTACTGTCTTCATGATCACACTTCTTCTATTAGTCTCGCTTCTTAATAATGTCTCTTTTTTTTCTTATTCTTTCACACACAGTAACCCCTTGTGTCTTTGTGGCTTTAATGTCTTACATGGGGTGAAATGATTAAAGAAAATAAAAGGAGGGAAATATGCATTTATCTGATTAGCTGTAATGTGTGTGTATATGTATTTGATGTGCCACGTGGTTTGGTTAAATAAAAAGTCAGTTCTTTTCACGGAAAGTTTCCTCAGTGGGGGGACAAGTTCATCTATCAACTGCAGCATTCCGAGGTTGAGAGGGCGAAAAAGAGAGGATTTTTTTAAAAATTTTATACAGCTTAATATAATATCACCGGGTAAGCGTTAAGTTCCCTCGCAGACAAAAGTTAAAGCGTTGAAATTGAAACAAAAAGGTATTCTTTGCGTTGTGGCCCTGTTAGAGGCCAGAAATAAAAGCACAAAGAGGGGAATTGAGTTAAACAAATATATTAACAGAAACAGTAATACAAACATATACAAACGACAGTGTTACAGCAAGAATGTTCGGTCTGACCGTCAGAGCTGTCTACAAAAGTAGTACCTGCCTCTATTTATAGCTGGGAGAGTCCATGTGTGCGTGGGTAAATTACCATAACACTTTAAAAAACAAAAAAAAAATTCTTTAAGATATTTAAAGATCATTTTTAATAATTACGAGAGAATTAACTTTGCTGTTAGAAGTACTGTTGAAAGAGCTAAATATAACCGTAAATCCTATTCTAATAGTTACTTTTCTCGTACTTACAGCCTGTGGAACTCTATTCTAGTTAGTTTGAGTAACCATCAAAATTTGACACAAAGTTCGATCTTCATTCGGAGTCAAACTAACCATAATAAATAACAAGGCACATCGACGTTGGGTAATGGCTGACGTGTTAGTTTATTTGACTATTCCTACTAGTGAGTCCAATCCTCATAATTATTGAATAGAAGACAAGTTAGTTTACGAGATAATGTAATAATTGTGTAATCAATGTATAGGTTATTTGAATTTTTATTATGCTTAACGAATAACCTTATGTGTTTATAGGATAAGAGAAATGTGCTATAGCTGCTTAAATTTCTCTTATTTTCATTTAACATCAATATACGGAAAATTATTCGTGAGTATGGACGGATTTTATTAAAAATTAGCAGACATAATGTCTGTAATTTATTCAATCAGACATATATATGTATATATATATCGCCATCCACCGACAGACTGTTCCACTGTATCACAAAACTTCAGCGTGGCGAGATCGTTTCAAGCCGGGACCGAAACCCGACCGATTTGGCATCAGTCGGAGATTTCTAACACCTAGGATATCGGCGCCCGGCAGAGAGAAAAGCGAATTTCTGCGTATTTATTTTTTCATAAACATGCCGATGACATTGAGGACTCAATTCGTTGAGAGAGTCTTGCATTATTAGCAGTAATAGTCACTGTTTGACAAATTCGCTCTTTTCTCCCCAGGGTGCTCAACCGAATTAATTTTTTTCGACACACACACACACACACACACACACACACACACACACACACACACACACACACACACACACACATATATATATATATATATATATATATATATATATATGAAAAAGACAAGAG